GAGGGGAAGGTCACGTGATCATGTGATCATGATTTGTGCCACGATGGGTCCTGAAAGGATAATTGGACAACGATAGTATAAGGCACTCAAGGGTTCGTCTTCACTTGACATTATTAAATGCATGAAGAGCAGGCTTTTTCTTTGTGACAACGTAAATGATCAAAGGGGTTTTAAAGGTACAGCTGTAAATTTTAAAATTACATTTACACTAACTAACATAACCAGTAATAAACTGTATGAATAGATAATTACAGCGCCTATTCTGCTTGAAAACGCTTTTGTAATTCAGCAAGAAGGAGACGAAGTAGCTGAAGGTGATGTTCTGTGTGATATCGAAACTGACAAGGCCGTCATCAGCTTCGAATCACCTGAAGAAGGCTTCCTCGCTAAAATTGTCATTCCTGAAGGCACGAAGGGTGTTCCGATAGGAAAGGTGCGTTAATCAACCACAAATCCTTACCATTCCTACGAATATTTCCTTTTCAGTTGCTTTGCATTATGGTTGACAGCAAAGACAAAGTGGCAGCTTTCAAAGATTACAAAGATGATGGAGCCACGGTTATACCGAAACCACCACCTCCTTCAGCTCCCAGTGCACCAGCTCCACCACCACCGGCGGCTGCTGCACCAACACCTGCCCCAGTACGTCCTGCCTTCTGTATTTCTGGAAACAGACCGTAAACTTGAACGAAGCCGTTCCGGATAGAATCTGGAACTGGACCAGGTATATTCTATGAAGAAAATTCCAGGTTGCTGCACCACCTCCGCCCCCTCCTGCCCACGCAGCTGGACATGTAGGAGCTACTCCTCTTGCAAAGAAGCTTGCCGAAAAACTTGGTGTAGACCTCAAAGTGAGGACTTGGAGTTTGCATAGCGACTTTCGAGCAACATTTTGTCCTTTTATAGGGAGTTCCTGGTTCCGGTCCTGATGGACGAGTTCTCGCAGCTGATCTTGCTCATGCTCAGCCGGGTGCGCCTGCAGCTGCGGCAGCGGCCCCACGTCCAGCTGCTCCTGCCGTTCCTGGAGCCGAGTACACAGTAAGCTTTCAAGGAATCCACCATACCTGAGTGGCTTTCTGCAGTTTTTTTTAGAAAATAAGTTCTATTTAGGACATTCCTCTGACAGGAATGCGCAGTACTATTGCTAAACGTTTGACGGCAAGCAAGACCACAATTCCACATTACTACCTGACTTCTGAAATCAATATCGACGCATTGCTCACGTAGGTTTTCATGAATCATAAGCTTATCAAAGGGTAATTGGTCTGGCTTAACTCGAATTGTTGCTTTCGGTGCATCATCTGTGAATGCCATGTTGCGCAGCGAGACAACTAGCCAATAATCGAACATAACGCCCCTTTCGGAGGGAGAGCGCAGAGCAAGGTCAAACTTTTTTGCAGAATAGGAGATGGAGAAGCTGATAGTGGTTCATTTCAAAGGAGCTCCTCGAAGGAGTGGTGGCGACCTGTAGGAGAATCTAGGGGTCCTACCGAAGGGGACAGAAAGACGACATGTAAGAATTCAATAGGGGTTGTAAGTTTTTTGGCACCGAAAAATTGGCCACTGGATTTTTTTGTGTGTGCACGATTCTTGGGAGAATCGAAAAATTAAAAGTTGAAAAAAAGTAGAAAAAAACAGCAAGAGCTGTCTCATGAACTGGCTAAGGCATGAAATTGTTTGAGGACGATGTGATTTTAGAGTTCGTGAGAAACTGAATAAATTGCTTGCTCAAGGAACTGGTAGTACAACAAAGATCTCCATTAATGACTTCATTGTCAAGGTTAGTAATCATATGAATCTCCTAGGTGTCAATTATATTATCAACTTTTGTGATCACCTATAACTACCATACCGTAATGCTACCGTATTAGGCATCTGCCTTGGCATGCTTGCGTGTGCCGGAAGTGAACAGTTTCTGGATGGACACATTGCGTGTGCCGGAAGTGAACAGTTTCTGGATGGACACATTCATTCGACAGAACAACAACGTGGACGTAAGCATAGCTGTGAGCACACCATCAGGATTGATAACCCCGATTGTGTTCAACGCTCATGCAAAAGTAAGTTCAGATAAATAAATTTGTTGTAAAGTTCTGCTGGTTTATTGTGTTCAACGCTCATGCAAAAGTAAGTTCAGATAAATAAATTTGTTGTAAAGTTCTGCTGGTTTGGTAATTGTACCGCTCCTACAAACCTAATTACTCAGGCGAGTGTAGAATATTGAGCAGGGGATGAAGGAGACTAAAGTGGAGGAGAGAATTTACAGAGAGGAAGACTAGGAACAACGGATCATGAGTAGGACTCAAACCGCGAAATGCAAAACAGGCTGTGTAAAATCGGCTTTTCATTTTTTCTTTATACTCACTCCACACTTTCCCTCAAAATATGATACCGAAAGTGGGAGATCCGAGATACCGAAAGTGAGGAATTCAAGATCAAGGGTAAGGATCTTTTTCGGTCGTTTGAGTGCTAGAGCTCACATACTTGTAAAAAGTAGATCAAGGGTAAGGATCCTTTTCGGTCGTTTGAGAGCTAGAGCTCACATACTTGTAAAAAGTAGTTTGTAAATCTACTCAAAAATGTTAAGTCACTAAAGATATGGGTCTTGACTATGGG